AGTGGTTAGAGCATCGTCCCAAGAACTGAAGGGTCACAGGTTCAATTCCAGCCCAAGGGCACTTACCTTGCTTGCAGGTTCAGTCCCGGCCCCAGTTGGGGAACGCGCAAGAGGCAACTGATCGATGTGTCTTTCACATCAATGTTTCTCTTTCTCTGAAAAGCAATGGAAAAAATATCCTCAGGTGGGGATTAAAAACAAACAAACAAAAAACCCCACCTTGTTGAGATACCACCTCACACCTGTTAGAATGGCTGTTATCAATAGAATAGAGCTACCATATGACCCAGCAGTGCCTCTTCTGGGTATCTACCAAGAAAATTTGAAAACTTATTTGTAAAGATGTATGCACTCCTATGGTTATTGCAGCATTATTCAGAAGAACCAGGACACAGAAACGACCTAAGTGTCCTTCGACAGGTGATTGGATAAAGAAGGTGTGGTGCATGCACACAACGGAACACTGCTCAGCCTTAAAAAAGAAAATATGAAGCACTGCCATTTGTGACAGCACGGATGGATCTTAAGAGTCAGACGGAAAGGACAAGAACCATATGATTTCATTCATATGTGGGATATGAAACAGAAAGCAACGAACACACAAACTCATACACACAGACAACAGCATGGTGGTTAGTTACCATAAGGGAAAGGGGGCCAAAGACTTGGTGACAGATGGAATCTAGGCCTTGGGTGGCGACCACTCAGTGCAGTACACAGACGAGGTACTACAGAATCGTACACCTGGAACTTATTTAATGCTATTAACGAGTGTTACCCCAGTAAATTTAATTTTTAAAAGTAGTATCATTTCCAGTAGATAATAAGGTGCAACTAGGTATGATAGTTTCTAATAACCCTTTAGATGTAACTAATTTATCAAAGGGGAAGAAATTCACCTGAAGTTTCCAAAGGAATTACAGCGCTGAAGGTGTGAATATGGCCATTTCCTTAGTCTAACAACACCAACATTTTTATTTGGCATGATATTGGGAACAGTAAAATTTATTTTATCCAAGAACTTGAAGTATGTCTGAAATTTACTAGTGCAGGTGCCCATTTTAGAATTGTGTTCCTTAAAATAAACCAGTAATGTTTTGAACATTTCCAGTATTTGATTTCTCTTTATGCTAAAGAACAATTAAATCCTGGGCTGAAATCTGCATTGGGCCAGTAGCAATTAATAGCTCTTTAATGATTCTCCCTCACACCTTTACCAATACTTAGCAAGATACCAAACTTCTATAACACACCTTTTTTTAACTTAACAGTCTAGCCCTTGTGGCTAGATATCTAATGCTGTGTAATCATTTAAAAAGATGATTGGACATGTGAGTTTTGTGTTTTGCATACATAATCTATCTGATAAGCGTAATTCTTGGTAGTAGTCTATGCTGTGGTAGTTCCCGGAATTTTTGTAACTTATGGGGAACTAATGGCAGCTCTCTTCGACTCCAGTCAGAAATAGAATAGTAGCTACTGTTTGTTGTTTTTTTGAAAACCAAATACACAGCCCGGCCAGGCGTGGCTCAGCAGTTGAGCATTGACCTAGGATCCAGGCGATCAGGGTTCGATTCCCGGTCAGGGCACATGCCCAGGTTGTGGGCTCGATCAATGACTCTCTCATCATTGATATTTCTGTCTCTCTGCCTCTCCTTTCCTCTCTCTGAAATCAATAAAGATATATTTTTTTAAAAATATATTAAAAAAGAAAAAAAAAAAGAAAACCAAATACACAAGTCACAAGAGATTCTAGGAAATTCTCAGTCTAGAAAAGTAATGTATATTTGCCATCATCAAAGCACTTATTTATACTTATGGAATGTGTGTTTAATTTTTTCAGTGTGTCTTTTGGTTCATTTCACCTTGGCAGTGGAGAGTTTTATTCTCAAAAGGATAAGAAATGGCCCTGCCCTAGCCAGTTTGGCTCAGTGGTTAGAGAATCGGCCCGTGGACTGAAGGGTCCCAGGTTCGATTCCAGCACATACCTCAGTTGCAGGCTCAATCCCTGGCCCGACAGCCAATCAATGTGTCTGTCTCTCCCTCTCTCCCTTCACGCTCCTTTCCACTCTCTCTAAAAGCAATGGAAAAATATCCTCTGGTGAGGATTTTTAAAAAGGCTAAGAAATGTGTAGGTTATATGCAGTAAGCAGCTCCTTATGCACTGGTGACCTACTTTTAACCTGTCCCTTGGCTAGAAACAAAGTTACTTGTCTGGTTTCTTAAGAAACTAATATTTTCATTCTTTCATTGCAGATAAATAATGTTTGAGCTCCATGCCCCCCCAAACACACACACTCATTTTGGTCAGTGACATAACAATTTTTTTAATGCACTGAAAAATGTAAAAGTGGTAATTAGACCTCTTGCTAAATGATAGGAGTGGTCATAATTAAGAATTTGTGACTTCTGTGTTCTTATTGCCCCCCCCAATATATATATATTTTTTTAGAAGAGCTTAATTTTTTAAAATATGTTTTTATTGATTTTAGGGAGAGAGGAAAAGAGAACTATAGATATGAGAGAAGCACCGACCGGTTGCCTCTCATATGCACTGGGACCTTTAGCTGCATGGAATGATGCTCAACCCACTGAGCCTCACCAGCAAGGGCGCAATTTATTTTTTTTATTGAGCCACTGGCAAGGCTGAGTTCTCTCTTTCAGTCCCTACCTTCCTGGTAGTAAGAAGAAAATTGTCATTATTGAGATCTGCTAGAAATAGAAGGGACATGTAATGTTCTAGTTTTCATATTACGGTTACTAAGAAATTCATCATTGCATTACGGCGTCTAGTTAGCCTCCTTTTAAAAACAGCACTAAAAGAGCAGACATAGTTAATAGGCTAGATATGAGGTGAATCCTGGGCTTTTTGCACTGGTGATTTAAAACACCTACCACTGTAGGCAATAACCCTTAAGGAAATCGTATTACTTTTCCAATTTAATTTAGTTATTTCATAGACCTTCTGTTTCTCTAGTCCAGTATACAAACAAGTGGATCTCACAAAGGTTTAAATTGAATGGCAATAAATATTCTGTTATGTTTCATGAGTTCCTGGTTGTTGATAATTGTGTTATTTTTTGTGCCTTATATAACATACACATTTTATACTATTCTTCACTGTTAATGTAGTTCAAAACAAATGAGCAATGGAATATACTGTAATAATATAACATGGCTTTGCTTACAAATGTTTTTTACTTTCTGTGTAATGTTTTCTTTTTGAGATAGGACAGGTTTGGTTGTTTCACGCCAATAGATCCACAAAAGCCTCCTGAGAAGCAGTGGAAGGTTTTTGTTTTTATCATTTTAATGATAGTTATACCCAAACAGTCATTTTTCTCTGGGAAAGAGTCAAACATTAACACTTTCCTGCAGCGTAGGCTTTTTAAACGGCTTCATTCAGTGAGCCTTTTTATTGCCCACTTCAGTTACTGGACTTTGGAATTGGCAGTTGATATACCTTTAGGGTCAGAAACCTTGGTACTCATCTATAGCTTTAGAAAAGTAGATAATTTCTTGGTCTCCAGTATTTTATCTATAAACCTGAAATATTTTCCTGGGTAGTAAGGTTCCTTTGAAACTTAATTCCTGGTTTAGGCTAAGAATTAAAAGGTCTTCACATAAGTGTTACTGGAATTTTTGCTTTGCAGAATGACAGTGTTTGGGTGTTTATAAGGTAGGAGCAGACAGGCTCCTGACGGAAAACAAAAATGGCGTGAACTTTGAACCTGGTAATGCTGCCTCAGCTTTGTAGTTTGCTCTCTGAGTAACCTTGTTATTTGTATGTACATTTTGACACCTGTGTGTTCGACACTGACAGAAGCCCAGAAAGAACAACTGCAAGTGTTGTGTTTTTTAATGGGTTTTGAATTTTAGAAAATAAAGGTTTTTAGCTTAGTCTCACGTTGTAGAAATTTTTCTATCCCAAAATATACTTTATGTGGCAGCAGTGACTTCCACACTCCTTCCCCATGATTAATGATTATAATCATTAATCCAATAGAATTCATTTTGATTATGTAAGTCAGAAGGAACCTTATTTTATCTAATGCCCATTGAAAAGTACCCTAATTACGTATCTGTTAAACAGATTTGGAAAATTCTGAAGGAATCTCTGGTTTGTTGGATTAATGCAGCTATTCCGTGTTGTTTTCTTTAAATGTGTTTGTCCAAGCAAATGCTTGGCTGTGAGTGTCCCTTCTGTAACCGTTGGTATTGCTGCTTGCTACTACTGATTTATTTGCAGAATGGGGAAAAGGCTGATTTGTGTCATTTTACATGAATCTGTTTAAAGCAAGAATTGTGGATTTCCTGAACAAAGTTAAATGTGATAACACATTCCTGTTTACCGAAGGATATATTATTATATGGTTTCTACTTTTTTTAAAAAGTTGCAAATGACCTATCATTTGTTTAAAAATTGTATTACTTATTTAAGATAGCCCCTGTTGCTAGCCACCCAACAAAATTAAGATAAAATTTAGGTTTTTTCTGCATATTAATTGTTTATACAAATTTATGGGTGACATGTAAACAAGTGCCTGTTTAGGGTATAGCTGCCCTAGCATCCAAATCATTGTCTAAATTCATTTTACTTTAAAAAAGAAAAAAAAGTTTTTGTTAAGATTTCCCCTGGGATTACTTGAAATGATTATTGGCCAATTTTATTACATTAAAATCTTTTTAGAAACCTTTTCAAGCCCAGGGTGATGACCTATTAAATAAGAATTGGTCCAAATTTTTCACATGCTAAGCATTTCATAAATGAAAAGGAATGCCTTGGTAGGAATTAAAAGGCCCTGGGTCAACTACAAGCATCCTGTTACAGGTTTTTAGAAAATACATAAAAACACTTTGAAGGGGAAAAAACCGAAGATATATCTTACCCCAAAAGTATTATAAATTAAATGCACGGTTGAGGGTAAATGAAGTTTGTGGCTAATTAACTCACTTCTAATTTACATTTCTAAAACTGTATTTTTATGCATTTTAATTTTTTCTCTGCACAGCTTTCCCATGGTTCGGCATGGACATTGGGGGAACTCTAGTAAAGCTCTCCTATTTTGAGCCGATTGATATCACAGCAGAGGAGGAACAGGAAGAAGTTGAGAGCTTGAAAAGTATCCGGAAATATTTGACTTCTAATGTAGCGTACGGGTCCACTGGCATTCGGGACGTACACCTTGAACTGAAAGATTTAACACTTTTTGGCCGAAGAGGGAACCTGCACTTTATCAGATTTCCAACCCAGGATCTGCCTACTTTTATCCAAATGGGAAGAGATAAAAACTTCTCGACATTACACACGGTGCTATGTGCTACGGGAGGTGGTGCTTACAAGTTCGAAGAAGATTTTCGCACAGTAGGTATCTGTTACTCAAAGCCAAAAACCGATACCCATTCTTTTCAGTTTTTAAATATGAGACTAGGTTTCTATTTAGTGTGTTTCTTAGATTAATTCCTCCTGCTGATTCACGACTAGCTTTTGATTTGGGGTATTTAAACACCTTTATAGGATAAGTAAAAATTGCCCAGATTTGGGTTGCTGTACACAGTATTTGCTAAAACCTCACTTTAGGGACTGCAGCAATAAAAGGGACCTTAGTGAATTTGGCAGTGTGCAAAGCCGGGTATGAATGGGGCTTCACTCACTCTCACTGGCATTGCACTATTTGCAGGGCTTTGAGTATTACCCATATAGTCATCACTCTCAGGGCCATCTCCTTCCCAAAGCCCAGCTGAAGCCAGTGTCTCCTGATCAGTAGACACTTGATTGAAAGTCCCTGTTACCCTTTTTTCCCCTGGTTTTATGTTACTGTCTCAAAACGGGTTATGTGGATATGGCAAGAGGCCTATGTCAGCGCTGATTTGGTTTAGTGGAGGTTTGCCAGAGTTGTAGTCTTTTAACATTAGAATAAAGATTAAGAAGTTGGTATTTGGGGCTACTAAAATTTTTCCTTGAGCTCTAGCCAGCTTGGCTCGGTGGTTAAAGCGTCGGCCTGTGGACTGAAGGGTCCCAGGTTCAATTCTGGCCAAGAGCATGTACCTCGTTGCAGGCTCGATCCCTGGCCCCTGTTGGGGCACGTGTGGAAGGCAACCAATTGATGTGCCTCTCTCATATTGATGTTTGTCTCTCTCCCCCTTCCACTCTCTCTGAAAAGCAATGGAAAAAATATCCTCAGATGAGAATTAAAAAAAAAAAAAAAATTTCCTTGAAAATATGTATGTAAACCATTTAATTTCTCAATTCATATAAGAGAAGTGTTACTAAAACAGAAGTGATCACTTATATGGCTTACATAAGTGAGCCCTTTGTAAATTTGGGGCAGTTTAAAAGTCTAAAGTTTTATTAAATTTTTTTTCTTTAATGAATAATCCTGATTTGTATTCAATTTATTGAGTAATTTAAACATAAATTTTATGCCTTTGAGGTGAGTTTGGGCCTGTTTCCAAAAGCAGTGTTCTTGAGGCCAGCTTTCATCTGGCCATTGAAAATACTGATATCCAGATACGGAGTTCTGAAGTATCAGTGTTTTCTAGTGATGGAGTTCTATAATACTTGTTTTTGTTTGATGCTTACTCATTTATTAAGCTAATACTGAGCATCTAGCACATGTCAGTTATTGTGGTAGACACAAACTTAGCCTCGAAGAGTGCAGTATTCTAGACCACGTAGATAAAGTGAGTTATAAGTAGGAGTACAGTGCCTTATAACTAATGCTATTGCTATGCAGAGAGGTGCAGTGGGAACACTGGAGGAGTGGTGCCCAACAAGTCCTAGAGAACCGAAAAGCTTCCCAGAGGAAGTGACATTTAAGCTGAGATTTTTTTTTTTTTCTAAATATATCTTTATTGATTTCAGAGAGAGGAAAGGAGAGAGGGAGAGAGAGAGAAACATCAATGATGAGAGAGTCATTGATTGAGCCCGCTACCCAGGCATGTGCCCTGACCGGGAATTGAACCGCTATTTCCTGGATCCTAGGTTGACGCTCAACCGCTGAGCCACGCCCGGCCAGGCTTAAGCTGAGATCTTTTATAACAAATATTTTACAATATACTCTTTACTAACCTGAAATGAATTTAATAATTTCAAGACTAGTACTCAAGCTGTAATATGAAGACAAGAAATTAAAGTACATATATATCAGGTAGATTCTCTGGTATGATCACATGGGAGGGCACAATGAAGTAGTTAGATTCCTGCACCTACACATAGATTCACCATGAATTCTAAAGCCATGAAAGCTAGATTTGAAAAGTTTTATTGGAGAATTGAATACCATAAATGGTGTTGCTGTTGATGTAACTTTCCACAATGCTAAAACAACAGTTAATAAAATTTCAGGCAGAAAGAAGTACAGCATTTCCTCAGGTTTTTGGTGGTTGCATTCCTAGCAATTTAGTATGTACTGAAACTATGTAAAAAATACTTTAGTGTTCATGCACATGACAGATAAAATGCTTTGTGCTTATGTAGGCTCAGATAATTATAAACAGATTTTCCTGCTGCTCCCTATAAAATGTCTTTCAGAACAAAGATTATGCAGGAATGTGATAATTCCTTGTTTTGCACAACGGCCCCACCCATTGCAGATGTCGGGCATTCCAAGTCCTTGCTGCTAGATGTTAGCTTTGTCCCCCTTTCCCATCTTTGTGAAAACTAAAATGTCCCCACAGATTTCCAAAATGCCTCCAGAGGTCACACCCACTGGACTAGATGAAATCCCAAAGAGAATTCAACAGAAGAAAAAAGTAAAAATGTGGGCGTCATAGATGATTTTGAAGTTTTCTAAAGTACATGAAAGTTATACAGTATAATTGAGTACTTTGAATGCTGTTTTTTGTTCACGTTATAAAACTTCTTCGGTATTTTTTTTACAGATTGGAAACCTCCACCTGCACAAACTGGATGAACTTGACTGTCTTGTAAAGGGCTTGCTGTATATAGATTCTGTCAGTTTCAATGGACAAGCAGAGTGCTATTATTTTGCTAATGCCTCAGAACCTGAGCGATGCCAAAAGATGCCTTTTACCCTGGACGACCCCTATCCGTTGCTGGTGGTGAACATTGGCTCGGGAGTCAGCGTTTTAGCAGTACACTCCAAAGACAACTACAAGCGAGTAACTGGGACAAGGTGAGGGACCTCTTTCTTCTCTTTGCAGCATTCACACCGTTCCAAAATCAATATATTAACACTAGCTTCATCAGCAAAATATCATACATTTGTGCAACAGCAAAAACTGTAGATGTGCAAATATAGGTTAGTGTTGCAGATAATATTGTTTTAAATGCATGTGTGTAATGACTCAAATTAAAATCATTAAATATTTATATTTGGTTAGCACCAATTGGCATTAAAATTTCCATAATATTAAGAGTGAATTTTTGCCCTGGCCCGTGTGGTTCAGTTGGTTGGAGTGTCATTCCCTGCACCAAAAAGTTGCCAGTTTGATTCCTGGTCAGGTAAATGCCCTGGCTGTGGGTTCGATTCCCAGTCGGGGTGTGTAAGGGAGGCAACCGACAGATGTTTCTGTCCCCTCCCTCCCTCTCCTTTTCTCTCTAATGTCAATAAGACTTTTTTTTTTTTAAGTGAATTTTTGTCTGAAATTATTCCAGTGACTTTTTTTTCCAAAGCATTTTTCTTCTTTCCTTATCTTTCACTTTTTTCTAGATTTGTTTAAGCCTAAAGCTTGCCATGTACTGATTTCATGCAGAGTATTGGGCAACATTGTAATTAATTCTTATAGGATAAGTTAGCATGAGCTCTTTGAGATAACGTTAATGTCCCAAATATCCCTTAAAATTTTCTATAGTATCTGAAACATGAATGTGAAATGAGATTTTAAAATTTTTCTTATGATTCTGATATGTATCTGATCAACATTTAAGGGGGGTGGAGATTCCTATTTATTTGAGAACAATTTGGGGATACTTTAGATTGATTTATGAAAAACCTCATTTCAGTTTTAAAGTAGTACTCCTATTTCAATGATACTGAAATTTAATAAAATTTAAGTATTCAAGTATTTTAACATTTACATATTAATAAAATTCTTATTTCTGTGGTGGCTAAAACTCTACCTCCCTTGTAACTCTATGCCAAAGAATTACAGTGAAGTACAGTCATCCCCTTTTATCTGTTCTTTTGCTTTCCACAGTTTCAGTTACTGAAGTCCAAAAATATTAAATCATAATTTCCAGAGATAAACAATTGATAAGTTTTAAATTGCACACCATTCTGAGAAGCATGATGAAATCTCTGCACTGTCTTGCTCATAAATCATCCCCTTGTCCAGTCTCCACGCTGTGTGTGCACTCCCTGCCCTTTGGTCACACAGTTGCTGCCTCGGTGGGTGATCAGCTCCACTGTTGCAGAGTTGCAGAGCTTACATTCAAGTAACTATTTTACTTCACGATAATGGTCCCAAAGCACGAGAGCAGTGATGCTGGGAATCCAGATATGCCAACGAGAAGCCTTAAAGTTCTTTTTCTTTTTTTAATATATCTTTATTGATTTCAGAGAGAGGAAGGGAGAGGGGGAGAGAGAGAGAAACATCAATGATGAGAGAGTCATTGATTGGCTGCCTCCTGCACGCCCCCTGCGGGGGGTTGAGCCCACAACCCAGGCATGTGCCCTGACCGGGAATCGAACTGTGGTCTCCTGGATCCTAGGTCGATGCTCAACCACTGAGCCACACTGGCAGGCCTTAAAGTTGTTTAAGTGAAAGTTCTCCACTTAATAAGGAAAGGAAAGAAATCATATGCTGAGGAAAATGAGTTTTCTATGCATGAAATTGTGGAGAAAAAATGCCTTCTGGTTTTGCTTTCACACCTCAAAGTGCCAACGTTACAGCCACGGTGCGTGCTAAGTGCTTAGTTAGGATGGAGAGGGCATTAAACTTGAGTGGAAGACACGAGCAGAAAACCTGTCCTGATTGATGGCGACGAGCTGTCCCAGAAAGCGTTGAGCCCATAGACTTAGGCAGGGGGTCCCCTGAAATGAGCGACCACATTCACATAACTTTTATTACAGTATATTGTTAGAATTGTTTTATTTTATTATTAATCTCTTAACTGTACCTAGTTTATAAGTTAAAGTCTATTATAGGTATGTATAGGAAAAAACGTAGCGTTCATTACTATCTGCAGCTTCATGCACCTACTGGAGGTCTTGGAACGCATCCCCCACGGATAAGAGGGAACGGCTGTATTGCTCAATTCTAAAAGACAGAAATTTAGCCTGTTAACTAAATTCCAACAGTGATTCAAGGCTAACCTGTTAGAAGTTTAGGTGAGACTAGGGAGCAAAGACTTTGATTTTAGGGATTAGAGAGACATGATTTCATTTTGTGAGTATATCCCAAAGAATGATAGAGCCAAGTAGATTTCTTTCATTAACATATGATGACCAGCCTGACATAAATTTCCTCGCTGTATTTATTTCTAGGTCATGTAAATGTATCACTGAACGGATTTCAGCCTTGTCAGGCCAAGTAAATAGGCCTTTCACAAAATCATTTCCTGGAAATCATTTAGAATCACAGGTTTTCTCCTTTTAATTCATACGGTCCTGCCCCCGCCGGGTTAGAGTGTTGGCCCATGGACTGAAGGGTCTCAGGTTCCATTCCAGTCAAGGGCACATACCTCGGTTGCAGGCTTCACCCCCTGCGCATATTGGAGGCAGCCAATCGATGTCTCTCTCTCTCCTGTCCACTCTGAAAAGCAAGGGAAAAATACCCTCGGGTGAGGGTAAAAAAGTAAAAAAATTCATGTGGTACGAATTTTTAGCACTTCTTTTATATCCACATAAGAACATTTATTGTTAGCATACAAAGTATAAAGGATGAGGTGAAGTTACTGGAAGATATAAAAGACCCTCCTGTCCTCGCGTTGTTTACACCAAGTGGTCTTTTCCTCGGTTTCTTCTTCGCGCTGACCAGGTAGGTTTTGATGAGCAGTTTAACCTTTCCTCTCCTCATGTTGCTTTCAGCACTTAGCATTAGCAATATGTCATTTCTGTGTGTTTTTTGAATAAACAAATGCTCCACCTTTTACTTGGGAGAAAGAATACAGTGTGTAAATGCAGCTCATAGAGTTTTTTTGTTTTCCTTAGCCTTGGAGGGGGAACCTTTCTGGGCCTATGCAGCTTATTGACTGGCTGTGAAAGTTTTGAAGAGGCCCTTGAAATGGCATCCAAAGGTGACAGCACCCAAGCTGACAAGCTGGTCCGTGATATTTACGGAGGAGATTATGAAAGATTTGGTCTGCCAGGTTGGGCTGTAGCATCGAGGTAAGTTTAACATTTGTGTTGTAATTAAAGTTGCTTATTTGTATCCAGAATATATAGGGAATTCATAGAATTTAAACCAAAAAACCCCCGAAACAATTCAGTTACAAAACGGGCTGGGGACCTGAACAGACATTCTCCAAAGAGGACACACAATGGCCAATAAACATATGAAAAGATGCTCAACATCACTAATCATCAGGGAAAGGCAGATTAAAACCACAATGAGATACCACCTCACACCCATCAGAACGGCACCATCACTACATCCACAAACAATAAGTGTTAGTAAGGGTGTGGAGAAAAGGAAACCCTCCTGCATTGCTGGCGGGATTGCAAATTGGTGCAGCCACTATGGAAAGCAGAATGGAGGTTTCTGAAAAGGTGAAAAATAGAACTGCCACATGACCCAGCAATTTTTCTGGGTATTTATCTGAAGAAACCCAAAACACTAATTTGAAAAGACATGTTCACCCCTAGGTTCATTGCAGCATTATAGCCAAGTTACAGAAGCAACTTAAGTGTCCATTGGATACAAAAGTTGTGGTACTTATGTACAGCGGAGTATTACTCAGCTATAAAAACGAATGAAATCTTTCCATTTTCAACAACATGGATGGAGCTAGAGGGTATTATGCTAAATGGAGTAGGTCAGACAGAGAAAGACAAATACCATAGGATTTCACTTCTGTGGAATCTAAAAAACAAGCGAATAAACTTGTAGATACAGAGAACAAATTTGATGGTGCCAGATGGGAGAGGATTGTGGGGGGTGGGTAAAAAGGGGATTGGATTAACATGTACAAATCACCAGATATAAAAACAGTCGCAGGGATGTGAAGTACAGCATAGGGAATATAGTCGGTAAACATGTAATAACTATGTATGGTGTCAGGTGAGTACTAGACTGATTTATCAGTGATCTTTTCCAAAGTTATATAAATGTCTGATCACTGTGTTGTACACCTGAAACTAATACAATATTGTGTGTCAGCTTAATTGAAAATTAAAAAATAAAGTTGCTTGTTTAGTTTTTAGAAAGCATTAAATATATCAGGAAGTTGTAATGGGCCTTCCTCTTACCCAGTTTAGGTTCTAAGTTCTGAACACTCATGTAGTTTGAAAATTAGATATTAAAAGTCTTCCTGAGTGCACCCTATAGGAAACCGTTTTTATTAATTCTTGAGTATCTTTTCAGTGTTTTTTCTGTGTGAAAACAAATACATATATCCGTAGCCTGCCCTTACTTGGAAGGTAATATTGATATACCATTGAGTAGCATACTGTGTATATTTTTTAACAGCAATATAACCTAGTCCCTGCCTCCGTCACTCCCTCCCCCCTCCCATCCCCTTTCCTTCCCCATCTCTCCCTCCCCTCCCTTTGTCCCTGTTGACAGCTTTATGGTCTTTCATTGCTTGGTGGTGGTTGGGTTCATCCCCATTATTTTGCTATGTACAGTTCAGTGGATCAGTGGTTAACCCTGTATATGTGTAGATTTATCTGTAGAATAAATTCCCAAAATGTATGAAATGTGGCCTTTTATCAGCAGGTTTGATTTTGTTTGTTTTTTCATTTCTCTACAGTTTTGGCAACATGATTTATAAGGAGAAGCGAGAAACTGTCAGTAAAGAAGATCTAGCAAGAGCTACTTTAGTTACTATCACCAATAACATTGGTTCTGTGGCACGAATGTGTGCTGTTAATGAGGTAAAAAATTTAATTCTATGAAAAATGTGAATTGGGGTTTTATGTCCATATAGCAGGGCTTCTTCATGTTCCTCAAGGAGGCCTACGGGAGAGAGACTTAATCCATTAAACCCGAAGGCTCATTAAGTCTGTATGTTATGCACGCAATTGTTATATTAACTTTAAAGAAAGTAGCAGGTAATTCAAATCAGAAAAAGGACAAGTAGACATTTACATTCACTTCAGAAACACAGCCACATGCCGCTCAGTGACTAGGGTGCGTTGTAGAAGTGGGTTGCGAGGCGATTTCATTGTGTGAACACACAGCGTGCACTCCTCACAGAGCCACATGGTGAAGCCCACCCCAGGCTGCCTGGGAGCCTGTTGCTCCTGGGCGACAAGCCTGTACAGCACGTTGCTTACACCAAGCATCACGAGATTAAACACGAGGCCTGTGAGGCACACTGTTCACAGGGCAAACTGTCTCTCTTATAAGTAGAAAGAGAACACTGTAGAGTAACAATAAAAGGTATAGTAAATGCATGAACTATAGTGACAGTCGCTTATTCTCGCTGTCAAGTCTTCTGCACTGTCCGTAAGTGTGCTGTACTGCTATATGACTGGCAGTGCAGGTGTGCGTACACCGCATGTCCAGAAGCACGTGAGTAATGTGTTGGGCTCCGACATCGACATGGCTGTGACGGCTGCGACATCACTAGGCAGCAGACGTTCTCAGCTCCGTCATGACCTTACAGCACCACCATCATGTATGTGGGCCAGAATGTTGTTACGCAGCCGTGGCTGCACGACCTAAATCTGCTGAAGATGTAGGAGAAACTAGCGGTGCGGGGGGTCCTGTTAATGTTGCGTTTGACGGGGGCCGTGCATGGAAGTTTCTTACCGCCCTCGGCTTCTTTACAGTGCTGCCTTGTTGCATACGGATCAAGCAGCATTGTACAGGGCTATGAAGGCGCTGAGACCGCCCCTCGCGAGAACAGTGGACACTGATGCGGCGCGCTCACGGCGAGACTGAGCTCCCACTTGGGCTACTTTTATTCGAAGGAGGCTGTATTTGTCCATTTTTATTTGTAAATACCAAGTGCTTTTAACTGGATGGATAACTTGCTTTTCAAGGGAGCCCTTTACCCTCATTGCCTCACTCGATGCACAAATACAGGTGGCCGTGTGCCAGGCCCATTCCGCATTAGCGAAGGAAACGGTGACCTCTGACTCGGTGGCGCTCACGTCCATCCTAGTGATGTGCCACATAAGTGAATTAGTTACTCTGTGTCACGTTCCAAACACTATTTTTCAAAATGAGAAAATCAAACAGGACAGAGAGAATTGAGACTGGACTAGAGTGTGGCAGAGGACAAGTTGCTGTGTGGTTGGGTGGTTGAAGGGGGCTTTATTGAAAATGTCACCTTTGGGCAAAGATTTGAAGGAAATGAAAGAATCATAGGTGTTGATATTATGGGAGGACAGAGGCTCCAACAGAGAGAACCAGTGTGCAAAAACCGGAATTAATCCTCTGAATTATTGGTTAAATCCAGTTTTCTCTCTTTAGTTTCTTCATATCAGTGTAGTTAAGTTGGTTGAGGGAGTCACTAGCAGGCCTTTTAACCTCAGTTTTGGAATATTTCACTTTCGAGGGTTCACTTTTGGAACCTTTTTCCTTAGCCCTGTAGGTCTAGATTTTCACTGGCCAATTTTCTTAACAGTGATTAGGACCATAGTTGACAATGTCCAAATTCAGTGTGCAAACATGGGCGCTCAAAACGTCAATATATTATTGTGAGAGTAGAGATCGAGAAACCTGTTAATAGAGAATACCAGTTCCTGCATCTGAGATTTCCTAATCATAGGTGCACCTAAGGAATCACATTAGTGAGTGAAATCTTATTAGGGCGACTGGATGGGTCAGGCTGGGGACAGAGAACACTGGTAGCCTAGGGTGGGTGTGCATCCACCCAGTCAGTGTTGTGCTCCACCTCACTGTATACTGTGTAAAGTCCACAGGTTGCCCTCACTGTATACTGTGTAAAGTCCACAGGTTGCGTGTCGTTGTTGAGTATATATTGCAACATGCTGGCCAAGTTTACAGCTTTTTTTAATCCTAAACACATTTAAAATTCTTTCTTGGTTTGTCTCCTTTAATCTCATCAACAGTGCTTCCCCCAGATTGCTGTTAAGTGGATTATTTCTTCGCCATTTTCAAAAATAGGTCTCATCTATAATCATTTACTAGGACCTTTTCCAGAACTTTTCTTTTTTAAAATAGACTATTTGTTAGAGCACTTTTAAGTTCACAGCAAAAATGAGCGAAAGTACAGAGAGTCCCCATACACCCTGAGCCCCCCCACGCGAAGCCTCCCCGGTCGGCCAGCACCGCACGGGCACGGTCATCACTGCACACCGACACGGACACTTCACCTCCCAGAGGCCGTGGTTTACATTTGGGCTCACTCTGGGTGTACATTCCATGGGTTTTGATAAATGTGTAGTAACATGTCCAGAACTGATGTTTTTAAATCTACAGGATCAAGGAGGGACATGCCAGCGGCACGATCAAAGGGTAGTTTACATTTCTCAGTAGAGGTTTTGTAAACTTTCTTGTATTGTAAAATCTACTCATAAATTTGTTCTTGAGGTCATTTCCTTTGTTCTTTTCTTTTAGAAAATAAACAGAGTTGTCTTTGTTGGAAACTTTTTACGAGTCAATACTCTCTCGATGAAACTTTTGGCATATGCACTGGATTATTGGTCAAAAGGACAACTGAAAGCATTGTTTCTAGAGCACGAGGTATGACAGAAAAGTAATGCATTTTGTTTAATAGCAGTTTTTATATGCAGGTTTCATATATTGCTTCTTGCTCTGTATTTATAAGTAAGGTGCAAAACAACGATTTACCTAAATAGTATATTGACTCCCTCACTTCAGGATGAATTGGGATGGGGGTTACTGTAATCTGGCAGGCCCCCCGTTATGCTGAGAACTTCACAGCTTTTCTGAGAGAGCAGTAGCAGGTCTGTGAGCTCCTTAAATACAGGGTTGCTTTTCTTTGGTTTCTTTTTTTAATTTTCTCCCCTGAGGTAACAGATGTTAAATGTGAACAATACAAAACTATAATTTAGCAATGAAAATTCTGCTAAATCTCCCCACCACAACCTCACCCCGCTGCTGGAGGTGACCACTGTTAACATTGGAGATTATTTTTCTATATTGTTTTTTGTGGGGGGTTTTCCAGTTTGTACACTGCAGCCAGTTAAATTCTGAAGCAAATATCAGTTCGCATAATGTTTTGGATTAAGTAAATTTACCTGGAATTACTTGGTTTCTGATCCGTGAAATGGCTGTAGGAGTGTGAACAGCACAGGCTCAGAGTGTTGTCTGCAGAGCTCGCACGTCCCATTGTCGCCGCTCTCACTGTACAGATCAGGATGGCGAGCACCAAGCGGCCCTCGTGGCATGGGGTCACTGGGAGGTGGCAGGCGCAGCAGGAGGGGGCACAGAACTGCAGTAATAGCCCTAGGAGCTTTAGTGTCTAAAAGCCACACTTTATCGCAGCTTGTGTGGCTCAGTGGTTGAGCATCGACCCCATGAACGTAGACTTTACCAGTTCAGTTCCCGGTCAGGGCACAAGCCCGGTTGCGGGCTCTGTCCCCCAGCGGGGGCATGTGGGAGGTGGCCGATGGATGTTTCTGTCTCCCTATCCCTCTCCCTTTCTCTCTAAAGAAATCAATGAAAATGTATTTTTTTTAAATAAATAAATGCCACACTTTAAAAATAGTTGTTGTGGGGGGAGAAACATCGATTGGTTGCTTCCCGCAGGAGCCTGGACTGGGTAGGGGGTCTAATCTGCAACCGAGGTGTGTGCCCTTGACCAGGAATCAAACCTGAGACCCTGCAGGACAATGCTCTAACGACTGAGCAACACTGGCTGGGGCTAAAAATCGGTATTACAAAGGTGTATATATTGAGAATATAGTTTTAAAAAAATTTATAATAGCTGACAAAACAAATTGGTAGATTATTGAATAGATGTTCTTAAATAAATAGATATAATGTAAATATATGTTCTTAATAGTATTTAATACTGTATGCTAATGTAAAGCTGCACTACTTTAATTAATAATTGTTTTTAAATTATACAGGGATACTTTGGAGCAGTTGGTGCACTTCTTGGGCTGCCAAATTTCAGCTAACGCGTCAGGTTTCTCTGCTAAAATAAATGTCATCCAAGAGGAACGAAAACCAGAGGCATTGCCGCATTATTTGTCACTGGGAACCAAAGTATAAAAGAGTAGCACTAATCCTGTTGATTTTTAAATGTCAAAATGGTGAGCTGCTAAACGTTGCCATATTAACAGAGAACTCGGTAGCAGGTGAAGTATTTCTGATTGAAATGCTTTCCCTTCTGTATATAGTCAGTGTTAAATCCTTAAATGCAATACAGCCTCTGATTATTGAGCTTTCTCTCAAAAAGATTTTCTATTTATTTTCTGTAGCCAACATTGCAGTACTGTATGCTCAAACAAATCTTAAACGTCTCAGAAATGTTTCGCTCATGAAAATAATTAATTCTGAATATTTGTACGTCTGTTCTGTGTGTTTTGGTTACTAGTAAGCAGACAGTAACATACCCTATATCAAAATTAATTGACCTGGCAATCAAAGAGGATCCTTTCATGTGATTTTAGAAATGTCAAGGCAATATTAATGAGTCATTATTGTCATTTTCCTAACATATTACCCCCAAAAAGCGTGTTTATGTGATCTTTCCCCAGAAGTACAACCTTTTTCAAATGCCATAATTTAATTGAAATACTGTTGTTAAATATTAGCCTGAATTTTAAATGAATCCTAGAAAATGCACATATTTGGTGACATTGCACTTTCTGTATTTTGTTAATCAATACACTTTAAAATGTTTTTTTTTTTTAATTGGAGGCTTAATTACTTATTTGAAAGACTGATGAGGTCCCAGGACTGTTGTAATGGAGTGTGGTTTGCATGCTTTGGAGAGTTCTTTCTATACCACCTTTATCACAGGCCCAAACTCAGTCCTTTCTGTTTAATTAGGTCTGAACCATCAAAGCTAAAGACCTAATTCTGTTATGAACAGCAACAAAGTCACATTTGTTTTAAATTGATGTTATGGAAACCTACAGGAGTTCTTTTGAAACTGGCATTTGGAGGCCGTACTGCAGAATTATAACAGGATCAGTGTTTGACATCCCCGTAATAAAGAAATTGTAGTTCCACAGTTTATAAATCCCTTTGCCTTGGAATCTGTTCTCTATTCTGAATCATTTTTTATAATGTTGTAAACCTCTTCCGATTTTTACTTTGGCAGTAACATTTTGGAGTCTAGTAGTTTAGCAGAGCTGTTTGAGACTGTTTGTCATGGTTTTTACGAAACAGACTTGAGGAAACTCCACCTCCTTAAAATACCAGTAAATCTGGATGTGCTTTGAAGAGCTTAAAACTGTTTACATTACAGGAAGAAGCATGACAGTGTGTTTTTACAGAACAGTCTTGCTCCATGGAGTACAATTTTCAGTAGACTATCAAGAGGTGCTTGATAAAGACATTTCTCCTCAGAGTTTTCAAAATTTGTGCTCAAATACTTAAAATTCGGTTTTCTTTATCTAGATAAAGGCATTAATATGAGTAACAGGCATGAATATGTTAGAGGGGAAGGTATGTCAATGTAATTTTTTAGAATTTAGAATATTTAGAACGGATCCATGTCAGTCAATAGTCATTTTGTAAACCTACGACCAAAGGTTTCTTACTTTCATGTTTCCATTGTAGTGACTAAGTATTTCAGCCAAAAGCTACCTATTCAGTTTAAAAGTTTGTGATTTGGGCCTCAGTACAAAAACTTTATTTTTAAATGACCATAACTTCAAGTTATATTTCTGTGGCAAACTGTACATCAGCAGCTCTAGGTTTAGGTGGAAAGAAATGGAATGATCAAAGTCTATGTAAGTTAAATTTGATTGATGCTTTGCTTCGTGTGATTCATGCTTCCTGTCCTTCAGAACCGCAGCTGCTTATTAAAATGCATACAAAGGTGAGTCCCATCTCACCACTCCCGCCCTTGGCTTTCCTCATGTACAGAGTTCCTGGAGTAATAGCGCAGAATTATGACCAAGGCTGCCGAGACTCTAGGTTTGCATTATGATCTCAAGAATTGCCATGTGAGAATACAGTGGAAAACAGGTTTGGTTATAAGCCCAGTCACTATAATGCCTCAGAGTTCTGTGTTCTGTGTTCTGGACCAGTGCTAATAGAACTAAACTGTGAGCACATGAAATTGTGCGTTTTCCAGTAGGCACATTTAAAGGAAAAGAAACGTGAAATTCATTTTCATATGTATTTGTATTTAATCCAGTATATCCGATGCACTGTCATTTCAACATGGAACCCATGGGGGAGGCTGTTGGGGAGATGCTCTACGTTTGTTTGTACTTAATATTCAAACAATTTGCATTTTACACTTAAAGTGCATCTCAGGTTAGACTGACCACGCTTGAGGTTCTCAGTGGCCACGTTTGGGTGGTAGCTGCTGTGAGTGCAATTTAGAACTAGCTCTTAAAATTGGGCTTTTTAAAAGAATGAGAGGGGAAAATACGGGAACCTTTTTAAAAAGAGAAAGGGGAATAGGAGGTCACTCATTTGGGCTAGTTTATTTTACACAGGCAAGCTGTATTTCTGACCATTCCAGAAACACCTTACGTTGTGGCCTGGTCGCATCGTGGTGTGTCTCATTTCCCCCGTGATACCGGTAGATAAAGTGCCCAGGACACATTCTAACTACCCTCAGCAGTCTCCAGAGTGCATATTTCCTTCACTGAGCATATGTGATGATTCCAGTGACGTAAATCCCCCACCTTATCTAATGAATTGTGAGGAGCCAGTTTTAAAGGATGGAAAAGAGGCCTTGTTCATTCCTTGTTGAGTCAAGTACACATCCAGATAACCTGGGTTTAATTTTCGTTCATAAAAACTCAACATTTCAAATGCAGGGAGCACTAATCAGTGTTTTGAGGCTTCGTAAAAAACACAAGGTCTAGAACTTTCCACCCCCACCCCCAAAAAGATTGCCTTTTAACTAGAGAATTTTAGAACTGATGGCTTTCAGTTCTACACCCCGACCTCTCCAAGGACGAAGCATGAGTAGGCGTGCCTGCCTGCGGACCCGGCCGCTCCCTGCTCAGCTCCCTTAATCAAACGCGGGGGCCCTCAGTGTAGGAGAGGCCAGTGCTGCTGCCAGCCGTATACGTGGCGATTGACGGTCCTTTAGGAAGGTCAGAGGACTTGCCAAATGTTGGACTCTGCAGAGGTTCCTGAGTGTTTTGCCCTGATTGCTGTATTGTCAGGACCGGTCTCCGGAAGTTTCGTTTCTGTCATTAAAATGATGCAGCTGAAAAGGGGGTTTCTCCTCTGTCCCACGGGACTCGCCGTCTAAGTGCGTCCAGCCCATCTCGCCCGACCCGAGGTGCATCCTGGGCGGAAGCTTAGCGAGGGGACAGCTTCCAGATGTCCTGTAACCACTGATGGTTACAGAGAAAAGTTTTCATATTTTGTTTAGTGTATCATTTTTTTTCTGGTTGAGCACATAATGCTTTTTAATCTATTGCATTTAGGAATGTAGTTTAGAAATTCTCCTTCAAAGCTATGTAAAGACTGAAAGACTATTTGCCAGAAAAATGAGTGTTTTTCATTTAACTGTTTTGTGGTCTGTGTAAACAAAGTACTAGAAATATATTCTTTTGTACTAATACTCTTTGACCTGTTTAAGATGATTTGCCACGAAATGGCAGTGATGTCCTCTCTCCCCAATAAGTTGCTTTATTTTAGTGTTTTATTCTAACATCGAAAGAATTCAGCCAACTTTTTTTCTATCATCAGGTAGCTCACAAAATAATGCGCTTTTATACTACCACCTGTTTTCAGTATTGAGCTTAGCAATTGGCAAAGACCCAAAAAAGTATTTTTTTCTTTTTTTGAAGTGTTTTAATACAGCCTATTTTAAAACAGTGTGTTGTGAAAAGTTAGCCCAGCTTTTCAGCCATGTCTAAATTTTGAGGGATTTCCACTGTCAGAGCTCCAATGTCCTGCACGTTGCCTCTTGTGTGCTCAGCAGACGTGGGATCATAATTTGCTATTGGATTGGAAATAGCACTGGCCACTGGTCTAACTTCTTTACATGTTGTTTCCTTTATTTGTAAAATGAGGAAATTGATTTGTCACAGTGAGATCATCCGTTGTCACCAAGTTCCCGGGAAAGACAGTCACTGGCGTCTTCCGTGGCAGCATTTACAGTGACTGAGCATCTGTTCAGATACTGATATCATGTCTTGGAATTTATTTTATTTGCATAGGCCGGTAGGTGCTGGATTCTGAATTCTCACCAAACCAGTAGAATGGTACTAGTTCTCTCTCATCATGTTGTGTTACCGCCTGCAGTGGCCTCGTGGATACACCTTAGAGTAATACGAAGGGGTAAATGTGTATTAAAGTGCGCGTGCATGTGTGTCTACTGCAAACTACATGTAGCTGGGTTTTCTGTTGTGTTAACCGCAGAGTTAAATTGGCATTACTGTGACTTCTTTTACACTCGCTCTTTCTGTAGTCGGGTTATTTTTCTTACACATTTTTCAGTCTTTCTGCCGCAGCTGCCACTAATTTTGTGTTTAAAAGAGCTAATGAGGAATGTATTTTTCAAAGGAGTAAATGAAGTTAAAAATCAAGATTTTGAATTATATAAATGTGCAACTGAATTTCAAATCTAAGGTAGTGCTATTTTTCTTTTTTTGCTATTTCTTAGCATCCTTCATACACTGCAGTGCTTACATACAGTTCCAGCAGCTTTCAAAGGGAACATCAGCTTCTACATAATTTGTAAAGTACAAATAAATAATGCAAATAGTTTGAGATTATTTTAGCCTGCATCCCATCTCTGCATCAAATGGCTGTTATACCTGGCAGGCAGTAGTTATTAAGCCATTTTTAAATTTGCCTTTTTTTTTTTACGAGGTATTTAGAAACAAAAGGTGACTTTGTTAGACCTGCCGCCAGTATCCTAGTCTCCTTGTCCAAATATAATGAATGGAATTAGATGTAAATCATGTTAAGATGGTTTCTATCACTTTTTTTTACTTTTTAACTGGAGTCGAACGGCATTTGTCTTAATTGCGCCCAGTCACTGACCAAATCCTGCACCGATGTGGGTGTGTTGACCTTCCTTACAGAAGCCATTTCCGTTTAAGTTGCCTTAGGCCCTCGCGTTGCCCTTGTCGAGTCTGAACTTGGTCGTGTTGGAATTCAACAGAGTCTGTGATGTAAAGACGTCCGATACGCTACAGATTTTATTCATAACAAACTAAGTTATAGCCTGTGTAACCTGTAAAACATTTTTTGTAAATTGTCTAATTTATTTTTTCATTTATGTACAGTTTCTTATGTAAATTGTAAAAATGTTTGTTGTGGCCTGTTCTGGAAACACCCTCCTACTCCTCTGTAATGCTTATTTGCATGGAAGAAACTTGGGTTTCGCTGGTTTGCAGTTACGGCCGTTACGCCAGCATCAGTACTCTGCCTTCTTTTCTGTAGGTTAACTTTTTCTAGTTTTGTTCATATTCTAAATAAATGTCAAAATCATGCTTATTTCCTACTTTCCAAATAAATTCTCTAAGTTGTTTACTCTGTGTATCTTTTTATTATTTCATCCTTTTCTGTACTGTACTCCCCGTTTCCTTTCCTGTTAAATCCAGGTTTAGTAGAGTGAGGCCTTCGCACGGGCTGTTGCCCTCTGACCCCAGGGCTTGGCACTCAGCAAGCAGGTAAACGCCGAGTGAACTCATTGTAGAGAAGGTGTCACCTCTCTGGTCTGCCTACAGAAGGCAGAAGTAATACAATTGTTTGCCACCTTCCTCCCCACACCGTTGGAAAGCACAAATGTGAGTTCTTCGGAGCTGTAAACCTTGAACTTTAAGACGTACGATACATTACTTAATACGTGAAAAGCTCTGCCCTTCCTTGAAAGGAGCCCACGTCACCCCACCCAGAAATGAATGTGCTCAGCACAGTCCCTTCACGCTCCCAGGTGGGCTCCCCGGGGGAGGCCCCACAACTCCCGCGGAACTTCGCCGTCACAGTTTGGGAAGGATTATTTCATACGTGTTTCCTCTAAACCAACGCTTCATGTATTTATTTTTAATAGGCAGTGCCTGTTACATTTACATTTGAAAAGAAAAAAAAAGAGAGAGGGGCTTTAATCTTTCCTAACCTGTGAGGAATTAAGTTGGAAAATTGACTTCTCTGTTTTCAAACTGGATGATGCCTAGACCCCGGCACATAGGAATGGTTGAAAACATGGAGAAAGACGACTGCGGTGAAGTACATACCCTTCCGTTTAAAAAAAAAGCCCAGTGAGCAGGAACTAGGGTGAAACAGTGAGATGGCGAAAGTAACGGTTTTGGTGTGTAAATGAGATCTGAGGCGTAGTTCGCTCTCCAGGTACAGAAGCAACTGGAAATGAGCTGTGAGGGGCAGGGGCAGCCCAGGGCTGCAAACGAACTACTCGGGGAGGGAAAGGGTTGCANAGTCGAACGGCATTTGTCTTAATTGCGCCCAGTCACTGACCAAATCCTGCACCGATGTGGGTGTGTTGACCTTCCTTACAGAAGCCATTTCCGTTTAAGTTGCCTTAGGCCCTCGCGTTGCCCTTGTCGAGTCTGAACTTGGTCGTGTTGGAATTCAACAGAGTCTGTGATGTAAAGACGTCCGATACGCTACAGATTTTATTCATAACAAACTAAGTTATAGCCTGTGTAACCTGTAAAACATTTTTTGTAAATTGTCTAATTTATTTTTTCATTTATGTACAGTTTCTTATGTAAATTGTAAAAATGTTTGTTGTGGCCTGTTCTGGAAACACCCTCCTACTCCTCTGTAATGCTTATTTGCATGGAAGAAACTTGGGTTTCGCTGGTTTGCAGTTACGGCCGTTACGCCAGCATCAGTACTCTGCCTTCTTTTCTGTAGGTTAACTTTTTCTAGTTTTGTTCATATTCTAAATAAATGTCAAAATCATGCTTATTTCCTACTTTCCAAATAAATTCTCTAAGTTGTTTACTCTGTGTATCTTTTTATTATTTCATCCTTTTCTGTACTGTACTCCCCGTTTCCTTTCCTGTTAAATCCAGGTTTAGTAGAGTGAGGCCTTCGCACGGGCTGTTGCCCTCTGACCCCAGGGCTTGGCACTCAGCAAGCAGGTAAACGCCGAGTGAACTCATTGTAGAGAAGGTGTCACCTCTCTGGTCTGCCTACAGAAGGCAGAAGTAATACAATTGTTTGCCACCTTCCTCCCCACACCGTTGGAAAGCACAAATGTGAGTTCTTCGGAGCTGTAAACCTTGAACTTTAAGACGTACGATACATTACTTAATACGTGAAAAGCTCTGCCCTTCCTTGAAAGGAGCCCACGTCACCCCACCCAGAAATGAATGTGCTCAGCACAGTCCCTTCACGCTCCCAGGTGGGCTCCCCGGGGGAGGCCCCACAACTCCCGCGGAACTTCGCCGTCACAGTTTGGGAAGGATTATTTCATACGTGTTTCCTCTAAACCAACGCTTCATGTATTTATTTTTAATAGGCAGTGCCTGTTACATTTACATTTGAAAAGAAAAAAAAAGAGAGAGGGGCTTTAATCTTTCCTAACCTGTGAGGAATTAAGTTGGAAAATTGACTTCTCTGTTTTCAAACTGGATGATGCCTAGACCCCGGCACATAGGAATGGTTGAAAACATGGAGAAAGACGACTGCGGTGAAGTACATACCCTTCCGTTTAAAAAAAAAGCCCAGTGAGCAGGAACTAGGGTGAAACAGTGAGATGGCGAAAGTAACGGTTTTGGTGTGTAAATGAGATCTGAGGCGTAGTTCGCTCTCCAGGTACAGAAGCAACTGGAAATGAGCTGTGAGGGGCAGGGGCAGCCCAGGGCTGCAAACGAACTACTCGGGGAGGGAAAGGGTTGCACTGGGTTCTCCGCACAGACCACGTAAGGTTTGAAAGCAGAATGTCTCTCTCTACATGTTCCCCGGTGAGGTGTGCTGCATATCGAGCGAACGTTAACTCTTTACGCATCCGAAGTCTTTTTGTTTTAATTTATCTTTATTGTTGAAAGTCTTACAATACCGTTTTGCCCCATCGAACCCCTCCACCCTGCACCCGCCCCCTCCGGGCCTTCACCGCTCTATCGCCTGTGTCCCTGGGTTCTGCATATATGCATGTCAATCCTTAGGTTAACCTCTTCCCTCCGAGATTAGGGCATCCAGAGGCTGATGGTTACTCAGTCTCTTAGTGAGCCTCAGGCTGTAGAAACTCCACAGGGTGGGGAGAGAGGTTTTCCAACAGGGTGGGGCAGTTCGTCCCCTTCGCCGCCCCCTGCCCCAGGCAAAAGGTGTTTGGACGGTAAATGCCTGACGGCACAGGGACCCAGATGGCCGCCCTCTGAGCTCTATCCCCAGAGCCGGCACCCCTGGATTCTCCTCTCCCAGCTCCAGTCCCCTCTGCCCTCCCTCTGCCACAGCCCGAGGCGAGTGGCTGCACCTGAAACGTGCGGTGGCTCTTTAAGGGGGGCCTGCCTTTCCAGCCGCCTCTCCCTGGCAGACAGAAACCCCGCTGCTTGTCACAGCCAGATGTTCTGTGGGCACCTTTCTCAGGTCTGGTGCTCTGGGCTGGGGAGCCCAGCCTGGGGTTTAGGCCCAGAGTCCTCAGTGGGAACCCCCACAGCTGAGGTCCCCCTCCACACCTTCGGCCGCTGCCTGTGGGAGCCCAGCCGGCCCTCTCGCGCCTCCGCACTTCCTCCATCTCTGTGCGGTCTCCCCTCTTCCTCCTTGGTTATGGGGGTGCTCTCCAGCTCGTCTGCAGTGGCAGTTGACTATTCAGGGTGGTTTTTCTCTATTTTAGTTGTAATTCCAGTTTGTTCCCGGGGAAGTCAGTGTAGCTTCCACTCAATCCGCCGCCACCGTGGAATCGTGTAAGTTCCTATTTTAAGATATTCTTATGCTTCTGGATTTTGAGTGTGCTTTTTAAGTTTTGCTTTGTTTTTTTTTTCCTAAAATAAACCTAGAAAACCTAAGTCGTCCTTGCCCCTCCTTTACATAAAAGTTGGTACCTTTTAATGTTGCTTTTCTCAGAGGTTCACAGTGCACCCCAGAAGCGCCCTTCACGGGCTTTGGGTAAACAAGTGCAGATTTCCAGCCAGGGCTTTAAACGGAAACTTGACAGCATCTGGACATAGTAATGAAGGAGAGCCCAGTTTGCTCCCGTTTCTCCAGCAACACTTTGGAGTAGCTACCCCGATGTCTTTGCAAAAATAATCATTTTTATCATATTAAACATGCCTTTCAGAAAATTCAAGGCCGTAAACATGGTAAAAAGTAAGTGAATATTATGCAAGGGAGGTGTGTGCGTTTGTGAATTAAATACCCTGATGCCTTGTGTTCCTAGAATACCTCTTCAGGTTCCCAGGATAGTTATTTTAATATTTCAAGAAATGATTTCGTTGAATTCGTAACTACTCTGACTGATTTTTGTTTAACTGGCTTGGGACCTGTTTATTTTTTATATTCAACTTTATTGAGGTATGGTTTAAGTAGAATAATATTTAATATTTAAGTATAATAAGTTTAAATAAGCTTGATAAATTTAAACACCCATGTAACCATCACTTCAAGAAACTTCAGTCATTCCAAGAAGTCCCCTTGAGACTCCGTCCTAGTCAATCCCCTCCCACCCCTGTTCCCTGGCAACCACTGGCCTGCTTTCAAATGTCACTAGATTCAACGTATCTTTTCTAGAGTTTTATATAAGTGAGCTCATACCACAGGCACCTTTTTTCTCATCTCGCAGTGCACCAACCCTCTCAGCTTTAAGCTCTGTAGAATTACCATCTGCTTTCTGTGTATAGATTTACCTATAGTATGTATTCTCTGAGGCATGAAACTGCCATCACAGGGGGACAGCTCTGCACCTCTCTCAATTACTGATAGTTCAAGCAAACAAAAAATCAGCAAAACGTGAGCACCACAGTTAAGCTTGAGCTAATGGGCATAATGTTGAACTCTGCATCCAGCAACGAGGGAGAGCATGTTCTCCTCAAGCACACATGGGACATTTACAAAAATTGACTACGTACAAGACCATAGAGTCTCAATACATTTAAAAAAATATTAGAACACATCACCCGGCTGGTGTGGCTCAGTGGACTGAGCATCTTCGTATGTACCAAGAGGTCACCGGTTCGATTCCCCGTCAGGGCACAAGTCCAGGTTGTAGGCTTGATACCCAGGAGGGGCCATGCGGGAGGCAGCCTATCAGTGTTTCTCTCCCTCTCCCTCTCTTATCTAAAAAATATCAATAAAAACATTAAAAAAAAAATTAGACCACATTAAGCACATTACAATACAATTAAGTTACATGTGAAGAACAAAAAGAAACACCTGTCTTTGCTGACAGCTTGAGGGGCAATGCTTGGTCCCCAGTAGGGGGCGCACAGGAGACAGCCGATCGAGGATTCTCTCTCGTCACTGATGTTTTTCTCTCTCCCTCTCCCTCTCCCTTCCTCTCTCTGAAATCAATTAAAAAAAAAAAAATTTTTAAATCACATGAGTAGGCGAGAAAGACAATGTCTCCATAGAAACC